AAATTTGGTTTGCGTTTAAGAAAGAAGGAAAGAAGGAATTGCACGGATATAAAGGAGGGAAGTCTGTAGCAGTTTGTTGCTGTATGTCAGATATATTAATTTAAAATACAGCAGTTGCAATGTTTTAGAAAAAAGAATCTAAGTTAGCAAAAGCATGAGAGAGGACTTCATTTTCACTCAAAAAAATACATGGGATGTACGTGGCATGTTGATTTTCTTAATTTAGACGTAGCAGAAAACAGAATGCTCACACGGGACCCTCCTGATACAGGAGAATCCTTTGGAAACCGTGGCGTTCTGTGAGAAGAAATTTCTTATGGATACCATCGAGTTTGCTTTCAACTGTTTGGCTTTAAAGAAAAATGAAAAAAACAGTTGTCCTCAGAGACAAATTTATCTTTCATAGCATCTTATTTCAGCACTGGAAACTGCCTTTGATTTAGGAACATCCAAGCTCTGCAATTAGTAAATGTCTTCATGTGGACGGTGCCCGAGCAAGGGTCTCTCGGAACTGGTATAGAAGACAAGGTTCTGAGAAAAGGCACGCTGAGAGCAAACGGGCAGGGCATGGAAATCAAGCCATTAAGGTTTTTCTCATGAAGTAACAACTTCAAACACTTCGAAGTCCTTCCCTCTTTGTTTATAACCTGGACTGAATACTCTGTGTAACCGCCTTCAGCTGCTGATAGTTGTAATAAGTGAAAAGGGGCAAGACTGCAGTGATTTTGATTTTATAGAACTTCATTAATCATTCAAATGGAAACAAAGACATTCACATCCAGCCTCATTGTGTTCCCATCGGCAAGAACTGTCAAGCCTTGAACAGTTACTCCAGGTTTGGCTCCTCTTGTATTGTAACAGCCTCGGCACCAAACACTTTGCATTGGAAATTAGTCACTTGCTACAACAGTGGAATGAAAAGGATCTGTATGATTTGGATTTTCTCCAAACCACAATTAAACTTCAAGAAAATTAAGCCAATTTTCTCCAGTGGAAAAAAAAAAAAAAAAAAAAGAAAAAAGAGAAAGCATACATTATTCATTTCTTCCTGTATTGTTCAGCTCCAGGTTTTGGGGATGAGGGATTCTTTCTCTGTTCTAGGTTTTAGTAATCATACTGCTTTTGATTTAGTGCCCTCTTCTGCTTGATAATGTGAGTGCATGTTGCCCAATGGTTAATTATTCTCAATTAGCCCTGTTGAGAATAACATTTCCCAGTAACTACTGAGAAAGAAAATAGCCTTATGCAGGAAGAAAGAAGTCTGGAAGAAAAAAAAAATATATATCACATTATGGGAAGGTGGCCAATGAATCTCCACAGACCTCAGTATTTTCATTTAACTACAGAGAGGGAAAGGGAAAGCAGAACTATGGATGGATCTTACTCTCTCTCCTCCTCCACTTATTCTCTATGTTTTCCCCTTTAATTTAATTGGTTTGCACACCACAGTCAACACCAAGCTGAGAGGACAAAGTACAGGCGGCCGAACTTCCCGAGGTGAAGCACGGACACTATAGCAATGCCTAACACTGTTCCTAGGGCACAAGCAGAGCTCACGCGTGTATCTTCTGAAAGATCATTAAGTCATGAAGGTTTACAATAAGGAAAACTATCTCTAAACAAGTGAGACTTTTAGCTAATTAAGAGACACTGAATCTGCACATGAAGGTGATACAGTTAATTAACAGACCATGTGAAAAAGAGTCTTCCCTGCCACAGAGGCCTCCCATTTGTTTGTTAGGCAGGGGTTGTTGAGCATCAACTGCCAACAGCCCTTAGGAGCTTGCTGAAGCCATCACTTGAGCTTGGCCCCATGTCAAGAGGATGCAGGGAATGTTTGCAGATAGCTAAACCACTAGGCCATTTCAACAACCTGTTCAATTACCTGTAGTTCAAGCAGATGACAGGAACAACTCCAGCACAGAAACCTCTGATTTTAGCCCTTCTTCCCATCCCAATAAAGTTGGAGGAGACAACATCTCCCACGTATCCCAGACAAAGGAGTAAAGAGAGAATGCAGGAGAACCTGGTTTCCCACGATGACATTTGATGCCTGTTGCTCTGGGATGGACTTTATGTTCCCCATCCCACATGCCTTCCACCTTCTGCAGCAGGTGAGCGGGGCAGGAGCAAAGCGTACAACCAAGACAGACCCTTCCTAAGAGCAAAGCTGTCTGTGTGGCAAGGGGGGCAGCACTCTGTGGAAATGAGCTAATCCATGGGCAGCAGACCAAGTGACGTTAGCTCCTAGGTCCTTCCACATAAAATGCCTTCTGTCTCTGCATGTCTCCCCCCACCCCACACACGCCTGTGCCCTCTGAGCTCTCCTCCTGCGGTGCTGCTGGCTCAGTCTTTCACCCCCTCACCACCAGCAGAGAGGAAACAGCATCTGCAGCAGCTGATTGTGGCCACCAACGTGCTACTCAGCTGCATCATATACATCCATTTATTTGCTCATCTGCTGGCAAACTCAACAAAATAAGCTAGCAATCTCCCTGATCACCAGTCAGCTGGTAGGAACTTTGTGTCCTTCCCACCTCTCTGGTAAAACAGAAGTTGGGGTTGGCTAGCGGGTTCAAAATTTATGAGGGAGAGGCAAGGAGAGAGACCAACAGGTGGGGAAAAAAAGCACAGCCTCAGTTCTTGGCTTGATTTGGGTTTTTTGGGGTGTTGTGGGTTGGTTTTTCTCCAGAAAAACGGATTAAAAAATAGTATTTTATTACATATCCAAAGCTTGATGCACAGGCACAAGAAATCTTGGTTGAAGTATTTCACTCTCAGATTTTCCAATTTTGAGCACCAACTTGCAGTTTGAATGATCTTTTTAAGTAATTGTCTTCTGGTTTTAAGAAGCAAATGAAAATAAAATTTAAATTCTATACTGGCATCAACACGAGCAAAGAGTAAATCTGAAACCGTTAGAGGGACATCACCTGCCCCCAGCATTTCAGCTGAGTGAACTGCTGCGAGGAGCAGCAGCAGGCTGCCGTCCTTCACGTGAACCTGTGCCAGAGGGAGGTGAAATGCTTTGCCAGCTGGTTTCACAGATCCTTGCTGACTGCAGAGCAGCAATTTCCAGTTTGGACAAATTCGGGAATCTCAAGTTTTACTCTGAGCTTGGAAGTGTATCGTCAAGAGCAAACCTTTTCTCCCCTCTCCTTCAGCCTTGTGTCATGTCTGCGCTCTGCTGGGATCTTGTTCTCCTTAATGAGCCAATGCTCTTTCACCATTTTCTATGGTTCATCACAGCCTTTGCATAGCAACTTAAAAATTCACTTTTCTGGAGGTGAAGGACTGAAAAATATTCAGCTATGTGGTAATTAGACTCCACATACTAGCGTGACTGGTAGAAGTGGTCAATGATGGCTAGGGACCGCCTAAACCCGTATGACAAAGAATTTCTGATTCAGCAACGAGGCATTCTGCGTGCAATTATTGGCTATTTATTGCGAAGAGCAGCCCTCCGCGAATTGCAAAGGGCTCTCTGTTGTTAGTCTAGGATAATCAAGTGCTGCATGTTGTCACAGCTAGAGTTTATAATATATTCCTAGTTCCTTTCGCTTTCAAGAACAGTGTAATTCTTTTATTTTTTTATTTTTTTTAAAAAGACTATCTCTGACATGAAGCGTATGTACAGGCTATCCTGGGACTCTCACAGTTTTTGAAATCAGAAAGATTAAAAGCTTTGGAAAGCACACCATCGGTTGTGCTTCAATTCTTCAGGCATCTGTTCCCAAGGACTAATATATTTTGCCATGTACCAGAGCAGTTCCAGAGATAAAGGGACATTCAGCAAAGCCTACAATTTCAGAAACCCTACTGCCAGCTGCAGAAATTAGAAACAGTTTCACTAATTCCCAGTGAAAGAAAATGAGAAAACGGAACATTTACGAGTATGCATCCATCATAGGGTGTTTAATTTACCAGATAAATAAAGATAGACTCTCATCCAACAAAATAGTCTAAGACCTTTATTCCAGTAGCTTTGTCTACAAAAAATTGCTTTTAATCACAGTGGCTTTATCCTTTAAGCAGAAGACTGTGGTATGGCTTCTTGAGGCACAGAAGCCTGATTTTAACTCCACTTTACTCCAGTTATTCCTAAGCAGGTACAGGGGCAGCGGGCTGTATTTTTATTGGAACGTTACTATAATTTGCTTTACAATGGGGGAAGGAGCATGTGTTGCTTTATGCCATGGGTAGGAATGTCATAACGCTGTCATTTCCCTTTTGACATTTTTCCAAAGCTCTGCTTGAAGAGAAAGCAGTCAGATACACCTCATAATTCACACTTCCTATACAAATTGTGTATAATATACCTTATTGGGCCCTGATCCTGGTAAAAATCTTGTAGTAGATGCACACTCATGTACATGCACATAGCACAGGGGAGGGTTAGGAGAACAGTGTCATGCAAACCCATTATTCATTATAGATGCTTTCATTATTAAGATAATACTATTATGACAAGCTTATTTAGCTATTCTGTTCTTTATTAGTCCCTAAGAATCCTTTGAACACCCGTGGCATAGCCTTCCACAGGAATTTTGCTGGCCATCTGCGAGCGCTCGGAGATTTGCCATAGCCTAAATTGCTCGTGATTTGTACAAGAGCATTCTCTCAAACCTCTGAGGGGCTACACCACCGCTGCATGGCACTGCTGGGACAGACCAACATAGAAAGACTACAGCAAGCTGAGTAAGGTTTGGTAGAAACGGGGCCCAGCACCCCCAAGGTAGGAGCCACCACTTTGATCAATGATGGTAACTTCGACCTGTGTTATTTTGATTTTCAGGCTATGAAGTACCTACTTGCAAATGGATTTTGTCCTCAAAGAAGGAGCCTTAAAAATGTTTACTCCTGGGTATTACTGTGCAAGGAAGGGTAGCATCTAAAATGTTTAGGCAGGGGGACATTGCACAGCCAAATGTCCTATGCTTACAATTGCAAATCCAGACTTGAAAGCAAACAAGGTTGTTATTTTCCCCGTGACCCAATTTAAAAAATTCTAACGGGTAATTTTAATAACATTTTAACTTAGTTAAAACCTTTTACTTACATTTTAGCATGGAATGCTACAATGGTATAATTATGCACCACAGTTTGGACCAAAAGTAAGAAATCGTTGTACATAACAAGACAACAAAGACCTGGAACGAGCTCACCTGACATGGTTTCAGTTAAGCCTACTGCTCCTCTTAGCACGTGCATTTATTACATGCTGGGTGGTGCTTTGACAGTTATTACTGGATGCTACTTTCTAAAGCAGAGATGTTAATCACAGAAGCGTCTCTCTAACCAATTTAAATCGTATTAGGTTGTCTGTTGCAGCAATGAAATACTGGTCCTAATGAACAGTGTGTGGTTATGACAAATTCCTTTTATGTCTCCAAGGAAGAGTATGAGGTTTCACACAGGAATCAGCTGGTTGATTGCCACAAATATTTCCATTAAACTTTTCAAAGGTGCTCCTTACTGGGAAAAAAAAAAAAAGAACCTGGTTTAGAGGAAGCAACAATACATGATGTTTAGCAACAGGCTTGATTCATCAGGTCTTTTTCTTTGCAAACATTCAAAGCACACTGTAAATTGACTGCAGGTTATCAGTTAAGTTTTTAACTATTAATTAAATAGTATGTACTATGTAACATTAATTACAGCATATAAACACCACTGCTGCGTAAATTATGCTTATCTGATGGCTTGTGAAAACCTGCTCTGCTACCACCGCCACATTTCAAGGAATCCCTCCTCTTCAGCCGCGCTGCTCAGGTATAAATGAATTCCCCCGCATGCTGGACGTGTTCCACTAAGCCTTACTTCTACAAATAGTTACTTGCTTAACTTTAAGCATGAGATAAACCAATTGTGTTTGCTGAGATTACTGATATAAGTAGCTCCATAGCAGTGTGAATGTGGGGCCACCAGCCACACACAGTAGAACTGCTGTACTCCGGAAAGAAAGGGGAGCAATAGTATATTCTTACTCAGGCACGCTCTCAGCATCAATTCAAGGCTTTACCTGAGGATTTCATCCATTACTGCTACTTTTATCCCTTCACCAAATACTTAGTATTTTTTTAAAAAAGTTAACTGGATACTGATTTGATTCTCACGTCAGCATTCGTCTGATTTTTTTTTTTTTCTTTTTTTGCTTTGAATTTCTTAAAAAGTTGTCCTGGTTTTGGCTGGGATACCATATGACATCATGCTCGGGGGGAGTTGGCCAGGGGGGCAGCGATCGCTGCTCGGGGCCGGGCTGGGCATCAGTCAGCAGGTGGTGAGCAACTGCATTGTGCATCACTTGCTTTGTATATTCTCTTACCATTATTATTGTTATTCTTTTCTCTTATTAAACTGCCTTTATATCTCAACCCATGGGTTTTACTTTTTTTCCCCGATTCTCTCCCCCATCCCACTGAGGGAGAAGGGGAGTGAGTGAGTGGCTGGATGGTGTTCAGCTGCCTGCCAGGTTAAACTACAACAAAAGTATAATGTGTTTTAATGCAAAGGTCCGTACCCTAAAGTGCTTACAATCAAATCATACACTAAAAAAAAAAAAAAAAAATTCTGTCCTGACTGGGAATGCGCTGTGGCTTTTCACTTGTAAATTGGAAAAAGTCAGCTAGCAATCCTCCAGCACTAAGTAATAAAATGTTTTATAAACCTTTTTTCCCCCAACAAGATAAAACTGGAGAGTTTTAAGTAAGAGACCCATTTTGTAACCTTGTGAAGCTATATTCATAAAAAGTAATTTTTTTGTCAAAAAGACCCCAAGGAGTTTAAGCAGAATTCAGTGGATCTGTATTCTGGTAGCAGATTCATCTATTTTTCACCTATTTTCAATTTGTTCCATTACAGGTGCTCCCTACAGCTTGCCTTCCCTCCCACTCCCACCCCTTCCAGTTACCGTCTCTGCCTTCATTAATTGAATTGGCTATATTGAGTATTTGTTGTTTAAATCAAAATCTGGAGTAACAATGCAACAATTTTTAGGGTTGCAAGAGGTTTACGGGGGAAAAAAAAAAATCCTAATTCTATTCCTTTCTCTGTATCACTGCATTTGTGTGTCCCAGAGTGGAGACAATTTCTTGGTAACTTATTTTTCTCATGCAATATCCTCAGGTGCCCTTAGCTTTCACTTTGAGCAAAACCAGCAGCTTTGAGAGGCGCACACTTGCATCTTCTCTACACATCTCACCTGCATTCATTAAATATCTGTTCCCCTTCACACCATGATTCCCAGTATGACACAAAAATTCTATTTGGTAGAGGAACTTATCTTACAGTAGCATTTTGTAAATTATTTTATAATTGTGGGATTGGCTTTGCTTTAATTTTTTTTTCTAGTTTCAAATGCTCAAACAATATGGAAGGAGACTGTGCAGTTTAAGAACAATATTTACCTTTTATGCCAAGAAGGTAAGAGGAATTATTTTATTTTGTATTGCAGTGGATGATGAAATAAGCAAACATGCATTTGCAAAGGACTCAGAACATAACAATAAAGTTGTGTAAGTGTATTTAGAACATACGTTTTGAGGATACAATGAAAAATAACTTACTTTGCCCCATTTCCTTCTCCTCCTGCATTGCTGCTCCAAGAATTAGCGTATGAGTTGTAACAGCAAATAATTTTGAGAATTCCTGACCTGGGAGGTTTAATTTTGCTTAACTTTCAGTTGTTTCTATTCTAGTTAATACCTCTTCTACAAAGATTCATGTTCATATTTCAACCAAACTTTTTGTTTCCTCAGGTTTCTATCACCATCCTACAGCCTGTTTTGGAAAGGGGAGTCACAGGAATAGCAAAATAATGTTGTGGACAAAGTTTTTTATTCTATAAAGTAATAAAGCCAACTGAATGAGATGCTAGCAAAATGGTAAGAATATTATATTCAATATTTTTCATTAGCACAAACTAAAAGTGCAGATAGACTAAAAAAAAAAAAAATCTTTAAAAAAAAAAAAACCAGTCCAGAATGTTACAACTTCACCATGTTTACACTGAGGATAACAAGAGAAGAGTTCACTTGTATAGGGCAATAATCCAGAAGTCCATGTAATTTAAACCAATGTCCAAAGAACACGTTTTTGCCTAGAAGAAAGCTACAGCTCTTGGGTCTTTATCCAGTTTGCATGGGACTAAGATAAAGCCATAAATAAATACCCAGCATGACAATTGATATAGAAAAGTTTTGCTCCCTAGCCCCTAAAGCAATGGTTTCCAAACAATAAGAAATACTTCAGTTCAGTTCTTTTCTGCAGTGTTCTTGTTGGCAGCAGAAATACAAACTCACCATCAGAGCGCACGTGCAGACTTGCCATGTGCTGCAATTGCCGCTAACCGAGAAAAAAAGAAAGGTGAAGAGCGGGAAACCGCATGCTGCAATTGCACTGCCTACCTTCAGGGTTCCTTAGCAGCTTCTTCAGGTGTCTTCTCCTCCACAGAAACTGAAAACGGAGACAAAACACTAGTGAGAAACGTTGGAAACAACTTATTTGATGACAAATAGTAGAGTAAGTTGTTTCCTTTAGTCCAAAGGATCCTTTGGACTAAAGGGACACAATTTACAAGGTTTTATTAGGTATGCAGACATTTTTCCTTTTCGCTTTTTAATTCTAACTAAAAGAGTTTAGAGGCCAAACTTCTAAATGCCTTTGAAAATCTCCACAGTGATGATTTTTACACACATTTTTCTTTGCATTTAATTATATCGTTCAATAGCAATATAGGATCATTTATAGCTCCACTGAAACGCTGTAAGGTTTATAAATATCACATGCTCTGTGCTTTTCTTTACAGCAGTGTAGTTTAAGAAAATTCCATCTTTCAAATTAAGTCAGGCGTTAAAAATGTGTGTTACATCACATGCAGCACAAGGGAGAATTTCTTGTTCTTAATGAACTTTACACCCAGCCACTTAGCAGGGTGCTAAGCTCAAAACACCACCGCGGTCCAGCTTAGCAAAACCTATTTCTACTGCATGGCATACAATTTAAAAATTAAATTTTCTGCTAATGCTACGGTGCCAAACACAGTCATCGCTAGCAGCCACATTGCATCACTTGCGTTCCGCGTGCTCTCTCGGCTCGCTCAGTGCAAACAGCCATTAGTGCTTTCCAGAGACAAATCATTTCAGACCCAGCTGTACGCCTGCACCTTCTGAAGTCTGCCCCGACTCCTCTGCATCAATGTCCTGGCTCCTCGAGGGTGCGTCAGAAATCTCTTGAGCTGCTGAGGCTACTCCTTCCTTGACACTGTCTAAGTTTTCCTCATGGGCAGAAGGATCTGCAACATCCAAGACTTCACTCACAGTTTCTATGAATCAAATTAGAGAGATAATTGTCTTGTCTTTCCATTCACTGGCACAAATGAGGGCGAGCAGTCAAGGCTCACGAAGCATGAAGTACCTGCCTAATATACCCGTCTGAAGTAACTGGAGACAACAGATGATTAAATTTTATCATGCAAATAAAAGTTTGCAAGTGGCATTCCAGGGGAAGTCTGACTTTTCCCAACCTTGGGGCAGAAAACTATAAACGTGAGTTATTTTCATATCTTTAGGCAAAGCTAAGTATTCTCTAACATGTACGTTCTCTTGCAGATACCCTCATTTTATTTTCTGGTTTCTGTCGAACTATTAATGATGTGCAAGATACTAGTGGTAAAGTTTCCACGGAAATAATCCTAGTCTGATCAATGCTATAGGGTGTTACCCATACACTCCACACAACCTTGCAAAGATGGGTAGTTTTAACGTAGAAATATCCTACCATCGGGCTGAAGATTCAGGCTGCGATTCCAGTGTAGCATGAATGCCAACTAGCCATTTTTCAATACTCCTTAAGGATAAAGCCATCCATCTGTATAAAAAGCCTGTAACAGGTAATATCTCTATATACAGACACACTCTGCAGGGGTACCAAACACATCATCCAGCTGTTACGTGTTAAATTTTACTCGAGTAAATTCTCTCTTACCATGTTCTTCGAACCTTCCTGTCTGAGGTCTCCATCATCACACACCATAACTGCTCGGCAGAACAAGGTTTGCAGGGACTTTTTGCTGTCACAAATTGTGTCCCATACTAAGCTGCATGTGTATTAAATACAGCTAATTAAACAGCTTCATTAGAAGTTCAGTAAATGCAGTAAATAGGAGTTTTGTAGAGCTACCATCCCACGCCTTTTTCTAAATATCAGCTCACAGCTATTTAAATACAGCATATTCCAAACACCAGCTATTTCACTTTACTTTGCGGAAGACTGACTGAATTTTGAAGAAGCAACAGAAAAAAAAAAATTCAGGAATTGCTACCTTTGTCTTTATAGGGAACAGCTATGCAATAGAAGTAGTACATTTGAAATTCAGAACATTCGGTATATATATACATCACTTGATGTAATGCAAAATATCTGCTATGGTAACAAGCCGCTGGTTTTGAGTTTGCAACATCAAACATTCAGTTTGTATTACCAAAAACTTGCTCTCTGGCTTATAGTATTTCATCTTGCTAATTTTTGTTTATTTCTTGTGATGTTTCAGTGGTTTAATTTCTTTGCACAAAGAAGAGTAAATCAGTAAGCAGGTAGAGGGAGCAACATGGACTTTCCTGCTTTTTAATAAAAGCTCATTTCCTTTGAGTGGGAATGGTGTTTATTTGCCACCTACAGGAATACCTGCCTCAAAATCAAACGTTAACGCTTATACCACTTGTACTGAATGGTTTGTCTCTGCTCTGAAGTATTCTTTTTGGCTGTCAGAAAGGCAATCTACTGCAACAAAACATGGATTCCTCCCAATGCATCTGGACAGGTCCCTGCAGAGCAGCTGTCGCTCCCCAAAGGGCCTTGCTGTGACAGGCATCACGTTTTTGAAAGCCTATGTCTGTACGTATCAGTAATGGTCCTTGGTTATCACAGAAGACTCGGGCTGGTGCTTTTATTCAAGTGGCTTTCACATCCATTCCTTGAGCACACGTGGTGGGTTTTGTGGAGCCACCTTCCTGGTGCCACAGCTGAAGTGCTCTTCTCCAGAAGAGAAAGCTGGCAGTGGCGGGTGGTCCAAGCACGCTTGCTGACAGCAGCGCCAGACGTGGCGGCTTGCACTGGGTCATTATCCATGCCTTACGGCATCATCTCCAGTAAGGATTCAGACTGGCCCATGAAGATCACTTTGGCATCATTTCTTTGGCCTGTTGCCAAAGCAGGCAGCAAGCCATCCAGGTGTCTTTTGGTGCTTTGAGCATCATGAAAATAAGAACGAGTCCATAACCACGAAGGCTATTTTTGAGCATTAATCTGACATACCTAAACAAATCCCAGTGGGTGTTTTTGGTGGTTTGTACGTGGCTCGGTCTTGGAACAAACGCTCTATATCCCGCTCACAAGGTCAATGCGTTTTTCTCTGTCCTGAGGAATTGCTGCAATCCCAGGACAACACCAGATGAACAATGACCTGGGAAGCTGAGAAGGAGTCCCCCACCTCTTTCAGATTCGGGATTCTGGCCCCTTCTCCGTGGGGCTCATCAGGCATGATGAGTCCCTCGCACCCTCTCCTACCGATCGGCTGGTAGCACAAAGCATTGTGAAGTTTAGGAATGTCTACTTTTTGTTTCTCTGGATGTTAAATTTAATCTCAGTGCTATTCCTCCCCCCCGCCTTTTTATAAATCTGCATGTATTTAATTTAATTTTTTTTTTTCAGTCCAGCTTAATCTCTCGCAGTTGTTCCATGTAAAATCCTGCAGTAACACCCTATTTCATAAAAGAGATTTTATCTCTGCCTGGTACAATGATGACTCATTTTCCATAATCCTCGGAAGAAGGATTTTACTTTTCTGTCTGTTCAATTATTGCAAAGCTGTTAATAAGCCTGTCGTGAAACTCTACAGCAATTAACAGATGTAACTGAAATAACGTCTAACTTTTGCTAGTTCAAGTACTAAAAAAATTAAGCTACTTCATTTTTTCAGAATAGAGTTGTAGAGGAGCACAGCGTCTTAGCTGGTTCTGTGTTGTTTTCTGCACAATGATCAGTTTGAAATTCTGAAGTTCCCCATATCCTCGTGCAGCGATGACTATGACCCATTTTGTCTATCTAAGCCAGCTTTCTTACAGTTTCTACAGGCTTTAACTGAACAAAATAATCTGCATTGCACAACTGCTTCCCTGCAATGAAGACACCTGGTATTTAAGTGCTGTTTGTATTGCATTTTCCTCTGAATGCCCAGCTGCTTTATTATCGGCATTAGTCAATACGACTTCAGCTCCTTAACAGCTCTAACCTAACACCCACTTGCAGCATTCCAGTCAGATTGGTCTCAGTCAAATGGTGATTCACCCTGACCCATACAATTTAAAATCTGCCAAAAATGGGAATGAATTTTTTTAGTTTCTTCTTAAATTCATAAAAGTGGGGTTGTTTGGAGTTTTTTCTTAATTCGGGGCGGGGGAGGGGGGGAGGGGAAGAACTCCCCCCATCCACCATTGTTCATCAATAGCACTGGAGTTAAATGGTTTCACGATTTTACCATTTCATTGAGTGTTTGGTGTGTCGTGTGTGTTTCCCATCCCCCCCAATCTTAGTAAAATATATTGCTCTACAGAAGCAATACACTTCACAGTTTCATACCAAGGTATTATACTGGTAGCAAAATCTCAGCCTTTGTCATTAATGTTAGCTACTTTTTTCTGAAAATTTTATATTTATTTTTCTTGTGTTTCTTCACCAGGCATTTGTCAATTTTATATTTTCCCCTTGGGATAAGCAGCTAAGTCCCAGTATCAGTGACTACAGTTTTCTTCAATTTTGCTAGACATTTGTATATACTACTGCACTTACAGATCTGAGTTAGGAGCTTAACCTGTGATTTCTACAAAAGATAATGCAAAAGAACTTCCAGCCTCAGAGAAATCAAACTAATCATGTTTACTAACTGTAGGCAAGTGGTTAGGCTTTGCACATTGCACCAACTGCTGTTCTGAAAGCATTCAAAGGGACGTTAAAGTGCTAAGGATTTTGAGGACAAACGTCCTCAGGCTAGCTAGAGCCCCGACGTATTTCCACTACGCAACCATCCATACATAACTCAACATCTTTGTAATATCCACTGCTTACGTGTAACCCTGAACCCGAACAAAAATATCGCCGCCTTCTGCCCAGGATAGCTACATGCACTCTCAAGTGGTCTTTAGCTCCTCTGCTTTATGAGATAATCAGAAATAAGTCCTTTGAGCAGAAATATGTCCTTCCAAACCGCACAAGCGGGAACAGAACATGACTGGGCAAGCACCAGCAGCACATTACATATGCACCAAACACAATACCAAACCATTTATGTTACGAAAACACATCTGGTTTGAGTTGAGTAAATACAGAAAAGGAAATTGATTTTATGGACAAAAGGAAATTAGGGTTTTGGATTTAAACTTTTTTTTTTTTTAAAATAAGGCAGCAGCAGGTATTCAACATCTAGTTCCACCTAGACATACAAACCCTATCCTTTCAGTGCACAAAAAAAAATATGCTTCCTGTAAAAAGTAGTTATTCCTGCAGTCTTTAAAGGTACAATTTTTACTCTTATAAGTACTGACATTGCAGCACTGAGAGCGCAGGACTCTACACTTCTGTGCATTCACAGTAGAACAGAAAACAAATCCAGGGCACTTCTGCATCCTCATGATTGTCAACTGAATTGTCTGAATATTAGCAAGCTCAGCATTCCCCCAGCAGAACAGAGAAGCACGATGAGCAGGAACTTGCATGCCCTGTGCGACTGACTCATCTTTGCTCCAGCTAATACAAAAAATAATAATAAAAAACAACCCTACACAGATTGACTTTTTCCCTGCTAATAATAATAAAAACCACAAAACCAACACAAAACCTCACACACAGGGATTGACTTTCAGAGCCCAGAGCCTACTGCTTGTGTGGCCTCTTCCCCCAAAACTTTCAAGCATTTAAAACAAGCTTTCCAACTTCCCTGAGAGAGTTTTTGTGCAGGAACAGCCTGGACTTTTGCCTGGGACAGAAAGCTCTAGTTTGAAATTGGCAGTCATGTCCTACCACCCGGGAAACAATACGCTATAGGATGATCTTGAAGCAGGCAGGTGAAAGGGAGGTATGGAGCGAATTGAGTTGGCGCTGATTGTGATAAGCAGAATCTGAAATCTGCCAAGAACCTGGTTCTTGCAAGAATTTTTGTGGGAGACACTGTTTCTGATAGCATCTCTACAGGGCATATCTCGCCTCAAGCAGGTGAAGCACTTTACCTTGTGAAAGAAATACATTTTTCTCTTAGCATGTACAAAGAGA